CCAGGCCCAGAGTTCAAGCCCCACGACCGACAAAAAAAAAAAAAGAAAGACTGAAGGTGTGGTTCAAGTGATAGAGCTCCAGCAGAGAGCAAGAAAGCTAAGCAAAGCTGGGCACTGGTGGCTCAAGCTTGTAATCCTAGCTACTCAGGAAGCTGAGATCTGAGGCTTGTGGTTCAAAGCCAGCCTAGCCTGGGCAGGAAAGTCCGTGAGACTCTTATCTTTAATTAAACACCAGAAAACTGGAAGTGGTACTGTGGTTCAAGTGGTAGAGCACTACTCTTGAGCTGAAGAACTCAGTGACAGCACCTAAGCCCAGAGTTCAAGCCCCATAACCCCTCCCCTCCAAAAAAAAGCTAAGCAAAAACACAAGACTGCAAGTTCAAACCAAAAAACAAACAAGACCTCTCAGATGGAACACTACACTTTTTTTTTTCTTTTCCCAGTACTGGGGTTTGAACTCAGGGTTTCATACTTTCTAGGCAAGTACTCTAGTGTAGAGCCATGCCTCCAGCAGAACTTTTGTTTTTGACTCTTAGTAAGTCTACTTCAACACTGTTGGCATCTGCTGCCCTCTTCTTCTGGCCTAACCTCTCCTAAACACATTAGGCGGACTTTCTGAAATATTTATTTTGAACCCAGGGACTTGCACACATCAGGCAAGTACTCTAAACTGAGCTATATCCCCACCATTTTAGATGAGCTGTTAGTGAAGAAGATTGGGAGAGTATATCTCAACTGCTGCTTTCCATTTCCAATATTACTGACAACCTCCTGCCTCTTTACTTCCTATGTATTGGGGAAGGAAAACCACTGGGAGACTGGAGTGTTTCTGGACAAGCTAAAGAAGGCCAAGAAGCTGTCCAAGGCCAGGAGAAGGAGGTGACAGCACTGCGGACTGTGTCTCCATGTTCTGCGTGAAGGGGTCCAGAAGGCTTCAGGCCCCACCTAGCCCAAACACCTGGTACCCTCCACCACACAGCACACTAGACCTCCTAACAACTGTTAGGGGAAGCAGTGTGCACTGAGGCTCACAGCAGATTCTGGGAGCACCCCTAAGGCAGAGAATGGGCCAGGTGGGGCTGCTCCTCTTCCAGCTTACCTCTCACCCAGGTAGTCCCCAATGACAGTCTTGTTCAGGCCTTCTCCTTTGTAGAGGAACTGGGCAACGTCTTCTGGGGAGCTCTGCAGCAGGTCGTTCTCTATCAGGAACTGAATTCCCTGAGGAGCAACGTGAGCCAGGATGCTGGGTTAGGAGCCGTGCAGTGTTGACACAGACACTCAGCATGACTGTCTCCCCAGCGACCCATGATTGCACACCACCACAGTACACTGTATCCACCAAGAAAAGTACCTGTACACAGTACAACAGAGAAAAGCACCTCCTGGCAACCTAACAGGCTAAAAGACAAAAACCCGGGAAGCTGACTGAGTCAATGGAAGTAGTTGTTCAAGTCTAGAAGGGTACATGGTGTCCCATGTAGGAAAATGATCCACTTCGTGTCAGGAGAACTTCGTTGTATGGAACAAACCCTCCTAACCCCATCCCCTTTGCCCTGCTGGCCTATGCTGGAAAACTTCCTAGTTGCACTGGATTCAAGATGACGCTGTGGCACCAATCTGGCCAGACATAAATGGAAGCTTGAAGGTGACACCTTCACCGCTGCTGCTGTTGTTGCTCCTCCTCCTTATTTTCCTCCTCCTCCTCCTCCTCCCTGTTTTGAACCAGGTGAGGCCCAGAGCCACAGCATCCTTCATATGGGGAAAGGCTGAGACGCACATGGCACCTTCCTCCTGCCGTACAGGGCCGGCTGTGTGAGAAGATAAGCTTGATTTTTGCTGTTGTCTGGCTGGATTTTCTTAACTGAGGCTGAAACGTGTACCTGGCATGCCGCCACTGAGTTTACTTGAGTCCAAACTCATGGGTACTTTAGGAGCCACAGAGCACAGCTGACAAGGCCTGAACTGGCCCTTCTATCTCATGGACAGCACTGGGACCGGCACAACCCCAGCTCCAGGGCCATGTCAGCATGATGGCTGGGGAGGAGACAGGGACTCTGCTGTCTGCCACAAAGCTTTTCTAAAAACTGAGACATTCCCAGGCAAAACTCCCAGCCCCGAGCCCAAGCTTCCGCATGCACCCACGGTCCATCTGGAGACTTAAAAAAAATACATGAGTGTCCATAACAGTCCTATTTAGCATTTCTAAAAACTGGAAACAGCAACCAGCAGCCACTAAGAAACAGACTAACATGCTATGATGGAAGTATAACAGGAGACCTGTACAATGAGGGAATGAACACTCAATGGAGGAAGACTCTTATAAGACAACATAGAAGGGGATATTTTAATTCCACTGAAGATTTTTTTTTTCTGGACAGTCATGGGGCTTGAACTCTGGGCCTGGGCGCTGTCCCTCAGCTCTTCAGCTCAAGGCAAGTGCTCTACCCTTGAGCCACAGTGCCACTTCTGGTTTTCTGGTAGTTAATTGGAGATAAGAGTCTCACAGACTTTCTTGCCTGGGCTGGGTTTGAACCATGATCCTCAGATCTCAGCCTCCTGAGTAGCTAGGATTACAGGTGTGAGCCACTGGCACCCAGCCTCCACTTAAGCTTTTTATTTTTTCACTGAAGATTTTTTAAAACACAAACTTGCCAGGTGTACAGGCTTACCCTGGAATTCTAACTACTCAGGAGGCTAAAATATGGAGGATCACAGCCCTTGAAAAGTTTGAGATCTCCACCTCAACTCATAAGTTGGCTGAGGTGCCACACACGTACCATTTCAGCCACACCAAAAGCATAGATGGGGAAGACAGCAGTTTAGGCTGGCTTAGGCCAAAATGCAAGATCCTATTTGAAAACTAATGTAGAAGGGCTGGATGCATGGCTCAAGTGGGAGAACACCTACCTCAAGAGCACAAGACTCTGAGTTCAAACCTTTCTACTACAAAAAAAGAAAGAAAGAAAAAAAGCTGGGTGCCAGTGGCTCATGCCTGTAATCCTAGCTACTCAGGAGGCTGAGATCTGAGGATTGTAGCTCAAAGCCAGCCTGGACAGGAAAGTCCATGAGACTTTTTTTTTTCTTTGGGTCCGGTCGTGGGGCCTGAACTCTAGGCCTGGGCGCTGTCCCTCAGCTCTTCAGCTCAAGGCTAGCGCTCTACCACTTGAGCCACAGCACCACTTTCAGCTTTTTCTTTTTGCTTATGTGGTGCTGAGGAATTGAACCCAGGGCCTCAGGCATGCAAGGCAAGCGCTCTACCAATAAGCCACCTTCCCAGCCCTGTCCATGAGACTTTTATCTCTAGTTAACCACCAGAAATCCAGAAGTGGTGCGGTAGCTCAAGTGGTAGAGTGCTCACTTTGAGCTGAAGAGCTGAGAGACAGTGGCTAGGCCCAGAGTTCAAGCCCTATGACTGACAGGAAAAAAAAAAAAGCATAATTTATGGTAGCAGAATAGGTACCCTGGAGTCAGTGACCCAGAAAGGTTTTTGTTTTATGCCTGTCCTGGGGCTTGAACCCAGGGCCTGAGCACTGTTCCTGAGCTTTTTTACTCTCTACCACTTCAGCCACATCTCCACTTCTAGCTTTTTGATGGTTAATTGGAGTAAGAGTCTCACAGAATTTCTGCCTGGGTTGACTGTGAACCAAAATCCTCAGATCTCAGCCTCCTGAGTAGCTATGAGAAAAGGCTTGAGGCACTGGCACCAGGCTGAGCTCATTTGTTATTAGTCTGTCTTTCCTTCTTGGAAAATTCAATGGTTCTCTTTATGCCCATGTTTTATGGTATTTTACTCAATGCAGAAATTTATTCTAGTTGGCAAATGGTGGGCTTGTGAATCTGAGGATTTTATCTTAGCCTAGTTCTAAAATAGTCTGAAATTTCCTTAAAATATTTCAGTTCTATTTGGACTTCTACTGGACAGATTTAGGGATATGGACCCATCTTCATGCTGTGTGGCTGTGTGTGAGATTATGGACAAAATCTTGGCTCTTTAGCCAACCATTCTTCACCTGTCCTGTGCACAGCCCAGGGCCCGGGTTTATGTCGCCTCATGTTCTTTATTTCTAGGGCTCTTTTCACAAGTCCCTGTTTGAGTATCATAGACAAGAAATATCCTATTGAGTCTCTGATGATATTTATAGTGCTATAAGCACCCTACTTGCAGAACCCCACCAACCCCCACCCTCACTCCAGCCCCAGCTTTAGCTCTGCTCTTCAGGGGTTGCTTCCCTTAAATGCCTGGTGCCCTGATGCTGCTTCTCCTCTTGGAGCTGCTTTCTGTGACTTGGCAGTGCAGCACTTTGAGCAACTGGGGTGGGGGTATGTATGTGGGGGGATGGTGAGCGGTCTGTACCCACAGCCAACCTCAAGAAGCAGGCAGGCTTCTCCTCCTGCCTGGTCACAGTTTGAGTGTCCTGGGTTATCCCCCTCCCCGCCAACTCCAGCTGCTGGGAGCTTGCTGGCCCCAGGTGGCTCTCACGTGCGCCAGCAGCTCTTTCTTGTTCCTGGCTTGCGCATCCTTCCCTCCCCAACAGATTCTATCTTCTTTCCTACACAGACTCAATTTCTGGTCCAAAATTCTGGTCCACAGCTTTATGTATTTATTTTTAAAGCATTTCTAGGACACTGAGAATAAAAGGGAGAGGCAGCTTCCTCAAGCAAATCAGATCTTTCCTCTTATTTATAAACCCAAGTGCTACTTGTAGAACCTGATGCACCTGGACATATGAAAGCTCCGTGCTTCAGATGCTGTTTGGGACTTAAAGGCTCCCCTCTGCTTGAAAGAGGTATCTACCAACAGCACCTCATGCCTTGTGACGCTATGAGGCCAGGTGTGTGTGTGCGTGTTGAATTCCATCTGAAGCATGTGAGACGGCTTCTGGCGTGGTGATGGAACCCACATGTGTGTGTCCCCACAACAGTAGGGGAGGGAAGGCCTCTGTGGGTGACCAGGGTTAGACCTTCAGCTGTTCACACAGGGCAGCATCTCCCTAGCCCCTGTCCGTGCTGGTACCCCCAATCCTGGGTTTATAGCCTCCAGGACCAAAGGTGAACATGCTGGCTAAGCCCTCTACCCCCATCCCATCTATGGCATTTTGTTATGGTGGTCCAAGTGAAGACCAAGCTAAGACAACTGCCATAACCAAGTCTTCAAAATCAAATAATTTCCATAATTTTTTCTCAGCAAAGGGCTGCATGAAGATTAAATGTGCTTTCTGCTTTTACTGAGTGACATAATGAATCTTTAACTAGAACCAGTAAATTAGTATAAAACTTATCTTTTAGGTGAAGCCTGTCGGGCAATTCACCATAGCCTGAGCAAGGCCTGACTTGTAGCAGAGGTGAGCAGACGCCACAGGATGACTCCGCGGCTGCACACCGAGCCCAGGCTCCCCTGGCCACCTCTGCTCCCAGGACCACATTCTGCAAGAAAGGCCTTTGGGTCCAGGGACCAGCTCCACATGAGGCCTCTGTTTCACCCTGCTCAGGAGCACCCCATTTCTGATACAATGGAGCCCCAGTGCCATCATTTTACAGGGTCATAGGATCACCTTTTGGCTACCTATGTCCACTACTGAAGTCAATCATTTGCATGCTAGAAAACTGGAGGGGTGTTCTCTTACCTTTTTGGGGTCCATGTTGAATTTCTTTCTTCCCATGGCTATTTGCTTATTCCTCTGAGTGGTTTTGCTGTGTGAAATAATGAAAAACTATCAGTGGGCACATTCACAGAGCACAGTCAAGTCTCCACCTACCCTTTACATCACACTTGCTTTATTTTTTCACATGCCCTACATGAACATTCTTCTCAAAAGGCCACTGGGCCTGAGGCTGGTGGCTCACGCCTGTAATCTTAACTACTCAGGAGGTTGAGATCTGAGTATCATGGCTAGAAGCCAGCCCAGGCAGCAAAATCCATTAGACTCTAATAAACTACTCAGAAAAGCTGGAAGTAGAGCTGTGACTCAAGTGGAAGAGTATTAGGCTTGAGCAAAAAAACCTCAGGGACAGTGCCTTAGCACTCAGGTCAGGCCCCAGGACTGGCACCAAAAAACTAAAAAACAAAAACAATAAAACACCCTGCTATTAGTGAAAAACAGTGCCTTTTTTTTTTTTTTAACTTGAGACAGGGTCTTGATAGGTAGCCAGGGCTAGGGTAGAGCACACAATCTTCCTACTTCTGCCTCCTGAGTGATGAGATTACAGGCATGTACCATCACACTTGGCTAACAGAGAAAAAGTGTAATTCCTCATAATATAGAAAGGATGGTAATTCAAGTGCCTGTGCTTATTTCCAAAGGTACAAAGATACACAAAGGACTTCAAGAAAGTTGAGGACAAAAAGTAATCTCCCCAGAAAAAGAAATGAAGAGCAGCTCAAAGATCCTTCTACCTAGCCCAGGCCTTTCTCCCAGCTGCAGTTACCAGCCAGTGAGCTCAGCTACAGGGGAAAATGGGGAGCCAGGAGATTAATGACTTGAAGGTGTTAGCCATAAGCATTTACCTCTCCTCCACGGAAGTTAAGTTGTCGATCTCTGTCATCACTTCTGCAATTTCATATTTCAGCCTCTGTCAAAAAAGAAGGCACTTCAGCATCATGGGATGTCTAACTCCTTCTAGACTCAGATGTTTTGCCTTCCAGGCACACGCTTCCTTGGGGCTCCTCTGAGCATCACAGTGCTAGAGACCTCACACCTGTATCCGCAAAGCTTATAGAAAAAACAATGCGTCATCACCCACCACAGCCCAGGAGGCTGATTCCAGACTACTTGTGTGAAAAATCAGGAAGGAGCAGAGAAGCCACATGTGGCAGCCCATTCCTGCAAACCCAGCATTCAGGAGCAGAAGCAGGAGGATTGTGAGTTCAAGGCCAGCCTGGGCTACACAATAAGATCCTGTCTCAAAATAAAGGATATGAGACTATCAGAGGTGTGAAAAGATAAAAGCAGTCAAAGGAAAGCAGCAGGCTTAACTGCAGCCATTCTATCCTGCCTGGCATGGGTTGCCTGCCTTCTCTAGCCTATGTGTGTTCTTGGAAGACCAGGGGAGCTTAGGCTCAGGTGCACTTAGGTTGGCATCACTAATCAGCAGTCACTACCTGCCAGGTAGTAAGGGGATGAAGCCCCATATGGGCAGGGCCTAGTCTGAATGATCATTCAATACAGACCTGAGAAGGGGAAGAACTGGTGTGGCCCTACTGGCTGACTCCCCATTGATAGCTTCTTAGCCTCCCTGGACCTCAGCATTCTCTCTGACTAAAGCAGTCAGAGCTAGAGTAGATTCCATAGGAATTTAGCAGTATGGTTACCAATGTCCACATACTATGCCTTTTTTTTTCTTCAGCCACAGGACTTTCGCTGGGATATGGGACAGTTCCATGAATGAGGTAGCCTTGGAATAAAAATGCCCACAAATTACCTTTCAAACACAAAGAAATTTTTATCCAGCACCCTATTATTTGCGTGCCAAGAAATCCAGACTCAAAAAAGTAAGTTCTTAAAAAGGAGCTGTTGTTTGGGACAAGACTAGCTTGTGACATTTGTTTTGGCAATGACAGTGACTAGGAAGTTTCTCAAAGAAAACTCACATGATGGACTTTCTTAAGAAAGCCCCAGAGGGAAGGATGGTGGACCTTCGATACAGTTCTTGTGACAATCGTGGTCACCCCAGCTCTGAACTATAGCGTTATTCATTTGCCTTTCCTATGTGACACCATCAGAAGAAAGTACATGAAGGAGAGAAGGATGTGGCTTGTCTGTTTTATTCATCTTTGCTTAATTTGTCATTCTAATACCTAGTAGGTACCTAGCATGCAGCCTGTCTGTCCACTCGAAGGGTATCTGCATATGCGAAAGACATCACGGTGGGCAAGCCTTGGCACTCACAGTATGAAACAGGAACAGGGTATTCTGTTACAGTGAAAAGCAGGGGGTAGCATGCTAGTGCAGCTGTGGAAACCCATCACTGCCAAATCTGGAGCCACAATCAGTTGTTGTGGATTCCAGGTCCACCATCCTGACTTTGGTTTCAGAGTCTGCACTGTCTGGTATAGACAGTCTGTTTTGCTGATGGGGATAACTCTTTCTCTATGTGTGGTTCTTACATGCTGAACACCAGTGTTCTACATTTCCCTCAAATAACTTTGTTCACAGTTTCACCCTGAAGCCCCAACTGTGGGTTTTTATTTTTACCTCAATGTCATCAATAAGTTCCTTCTTTCTACGACGAATGTCCAAAAGTTCTTCTCTCTCTTCTAATGAGAGGTCTTCTGGCACTAAAAGATAAAAAAAAAAAAAATCAAACAGTGCAACAATTACATTAATACTGCCAGGCACCGGTTGGCTCACGCCTGTAATCCTAGGTACTCAGGAGGCTGAGATCTGAGGATCATGGTTCAAAGCCAGCCCGGCAGGAAAAGCCATGAAACTCTTATCTCCAACTAACCACAAGAAAACTGGAAGCGGTATTGTGGCTCAAGTGGTAGAGCGCTAGCCTTGATCTGAAGAGCTGAGGGACAGCGCCCAGGCCCAGAGTTCAAGTCCCATGACAGACAAAAAAAAAAAAAAAAAAGAATATGATGGGGACCAACTGCAAGGCTGTTGGTAAAACTCTGGATCCCTACTCTCCTTTCCACTGCATAGACCATTTGTATCTCTACAGAGAAAACAAAGAGGCAAGAGGCAAAAAACCCAACCAAGGGCATAGGTGCCCCACCAAACTGAGGGGGAAGGGGAAGGCAAATGCCAAATTGCCCTAATTAGATGTTTTTTTTGGGGGGAGGGGCAATTTTCAGCATCAACTGAAAACCGAGCTGCAAGTCTACAGATGCTGTAGACAGGAAGTGGGGAGGTGCAGGGTGGGTGTCCTAACCCTGCAGAGAACTGCTCCGGGATCCAAGCTCCCAATAGCTTCTCAGTCCTTCCTGCCCAAGTGTGGTAAGCCCTAAAATGCTGAACACAAACCAACCACAATCATAAAGCAAGAAAGGTCAAAGTGGTTAGACCCCAGGTAGCCAGAAATGCTGTGGGAAGGCAGGGCAGTGCTAAGCCCTCCTATGAGCCTTCTAGAGTCACACTCTCCTACAGCACACCCCCAAACATAAAATATGTTAAGATCACCAAATGGGGCTGGAAGAAATAAGGAAAAAAATGTCTGCTGGGAGTATAGATTATAATGGCCACTTTGGGAAGCAATTAGGCACTGTCAGCTGCTATCAAAGGTATACAGGCCAACCCAGGCAAGTTTTTTCTAAGTATATGTAGAAAAATTCTCTAGTAATGCACCAGAAATTTTGTATAATAATCTCAAAGAAGTACATTTTGCATATTTTTCAAAAAAATAACCTAAATAGCCATCCACAGTACTGGTAAATGTATAGTGTGCTATGTATTTATGTAATAGCATCCCAAACAGCAAGGAGAATAAAACTACACCAAAAATGAAAATTAATGTAGAAATGACTATTTTCTATGTAAACCTCAAAAACCAAAACAATATATTGTTTGAGTATATGTCATGAAGAAAATTATCCTGTAATCCTAACTATTCAGGGGACTGAGATCTGATGATCCCAGTTCAAAGCCAGCCCAGGCAGGAAAGTCCATGGGACTCTTATCTCCAATAACCACCAGAAAACCAGAAGTGGCCCTGTGGCACTGTGGCTCAAAGTGGTAGAGCACTAGCCTTGAGCAAAAAAACTCAGGGACAGAACCCACGCCCTGAGTTCAAGCCCCATGACCAACCAAAAAAAGAGGAAAGAAAGAAAGAAAATAATTAAAACAATACAGAATTGAGAAGATCACTAAACCCCCCCCCCCAAAGAGGGAAGGAAGCGCATGGGACCAGGACAGGAAGCACAGGCTATTTCAAAATTTTAATTTCGTATTCTTGTACCAGATCTAAATTTCCTGAAATTCCAAGTCAGCAATTTTCTTAAGCAACACACTACCTTAACAATTAGTGAAGCAGGAGCTATCATTTATTGAGATATATGTTAAAATATGTTATCTCAACTAAACCTCTCAAAATAATTATGAGAATAGCTATTACCATCTCCACTTTGTAACAGAGGAGACCGAAGCTGAGAGAGCTTATCATTTTCCCTAGGGAAAGAAAGCTTTAAAAAATACTACCTGAGACTGCATGAAGTTGCAAAGCTTCTGCATAGCAAAGGACATAGCTAGCAAGATCAATAGAAAGCCCACGGATTGGGAGAAGATCTTCACTATCCATACAACAGACAAGGGTCCTATATCTAAATATACCTGGAACTCAAAAAATTAAATCCCCCAACAACAAATCCTCAAGGAAACAACTGCCCAATAAATAAGTGTGCTAAAGACTTAAAGAGAAATTTCTCTGAAGAGGAAATAAGAATGGCCAATAGACACATGAAGAAATGCTCAACCTTTCTAGCCATAAAAGAAATGCAAATCAAAACATTGAGATTAACACCTCACCCCAGTTAGAATGACTATAATCAAGAACTCTAATAACAACAGATGCTCGAGGGGATGTGAACAGAAGGGAACCCTACTGCATTGTTGGTGGGAGTGTAAACTTGTTCAACCATTTTGGAAAGTAGTATGGAGTTCCCTCAAAAGACTCCACATAGAGCTCCCCTAGGACCCAGCAATCCCACTTTTGGGCATTTACCCTAATGATCATAAACAAGACCACACTAAAGCTACCAGCACAACTATGTTTATTGCAGCATTATTTACCATAGCTAAGATATGGAACCAACCCAGATGCCCCTCAGCAGATGAATGGATCAAGAAAATGTGTTATATATACACAATGGAATTCTATGCCTCCATCAGAAAGAATGGCATTGCCCCATTTGTTAGGAAATGGAAAGACTTGGAAAAAATTATATTAAGTGAAGTAAGCCAGGCCCAAAGAAACATAGGTCCCATGGTTTCCCTTATTTGCAATAACTAGTATACATCTGAGACAAGCAGAAAAGATCAGATAAAATGATGTTAAGTGAAATGAACCCCAAAATAAGGACATAAGTTTTTTTTTCTTTCTTGTTATTGTTTCTAACATATTTATAAGGTACCATGTTGATTTTTTTTTTGTTGCTTTGTATGTCCCTCCCCCATGGCTATATAGCCCCTGTTTTCACTGTATTTGATATTGGTATAATTTGGGGAGTGGAAGGGAAAAAACAAATTGTTTAAATAGGGATACAGGTTGACCTATTGCAACAATGAGATGTACAAGACGCTATGTCAAAAAAGGAACTTTACAATTTAGAGTGGGGGTAGGGAGGGGTGGGGATGTAGTTGTGGAGATGGGAGGGAAGGGATGGGAGGGGAAAAACAAAAGAGGCAACAATGCTTGATAAGAAATGTACTCATTACCTTGCTCATGTGACTGTAACCCCTCTGTATTTTCACAATAATAAATAACATTTTAAAAAATACTACCTGAGGGGCTGGGAAGTTGGCTCAGTGGTAGAGCGCTTGCCTTGCATGCCTGAGGCCCTGGGTTCAATTCCTCAGCACCACATAAGCAAAAAGAAAAAAGCCGGAAGTGGCGCTGTGGCTCAAGTGGTAGAGCACTAGCCTTGAGCTGAAGGGCTGAGGGACAGTGCTCAGGCCCAGAGTTCAGGCCCCACAACCGGACCAAAAAAAAAAAAAATACTATCTGAAAAGTCCCAAATCTAGTGAAAACCATAGATACACACATCCAAGATGCTCAACAACTTACAAGTAGGATAAACGTGGAGAGAGATGCATGAAATTAGGCAACATGCTTTGGGTAAGGCTGGTCATGAGGGCCTGGTCTTTCCATCCCACCTTCCAAAGTGCCAGCTTCCTCTTAGAGCTGCTTTCTTTGTTGTCAGAGGCTACCAGCAGCTGAGGCTGCACTCTTGCTTGCTCCTGGGCTCACTCAAGCTTCTCCCCAGAAGGACCCTCAAGGCCCATCCTGCTAGGTGTTAGCTACTCAGCATTCAAGGGGAGACTATCAAGATGGAGAAATCCATCAATATCAAAGCCCAGACATCTCAAAATAAGAAAGCATACAACCTTTGACCCTTCAGAACTATTGTTCCTCCCACAAAGACTGAATCTATTCTACCAAAGAAAAAAAACATTTCTTGTTCAGAGATTTTTTTCCCCACAGTACTGGGTGTTTGTTTATTTTTTTTTTCTTATGTGGTGCTGAGGAATCGAACCCAGGGCCTCAAGCATGCAAGGCAAGCACTCTACCACTGAGCCAACTTCCCAGCCGGTTATTTGTTTTTGTTTTTTAACTCAGGTCCTCATACTTGCTAGGCAGGTACTCTACCATCTAAGCCACACCTCCTGCTCTGTTTTGGTTTTTGAGACAGGGTCTTGCTGTGCAGCTAAGGTTGTCTACCTACCTCAGTCCCTAAGGGCATGCTTTATTGGGCCCAGCTGAGAACAGCTTTACCAAAAGTGGCAGGTGAAAATTAACACAGCCTTGTTGCTACAAAGTAAATGTGCCTCAAGATTCAAATCTGCTAGCAACATAGTTTGGGCTCCCAAAAAGTAGCCTCCCAAAGAGGGGAAAAAATTCTTCTGAGCTCTTCAGCATAAATACATGAAAATACAGAGTCTTTCAGCATTTTTGTTTGTTTTTGTTTTCTTGGTCCGGTCATGGGGCCTGAACTCTGTGCCTGGGCGCTGTCCTCAGCTCTTCAGCTCAAGGCTAGCCCTCTACCACTTGAGCCACAGCGCCACTTCCATTTTTTTTCCTTTTTTGCTTATATGGTACTGAGGAATCGAACCCAGGGCCTCATGCATGCAAGGCAAGCGCTCTATCACTGAACCACCTTTCCAGCCCTCTTTCAGCATTTTATTTTAGCCATCTACAGACACCATGGCTCTTCTGAGAAAGCCTACCTACCGTCTCTCTCCTACATAAAGGGCGATCAGGCTGCTGGAAACAGAATAAAGACCTAGAAAGGGACTGTACCCACACTGAGCTCTCAACATCCCAGGAACTTCAGCCAGAAGTTTTTGTGGACTTCCCCAGTTTCTCCCAGCAATGCCTATCTTTTCTTACTTCCTTAAGGCATGGAAGAGTTAAATTATTAATAAAGTGCTGGTTGTTCATTACCAGCAATTGCAACCAGAATATGCACGTGAAAAAGAAAGAAATTTGGGTTTGAATTTTCTTTTATCATGTCTTCTGGACTCTGCTTTGTCAAAAACTGCATGCAATAAGTTCTTGAATAAAGTTAGCTTACCAGGCTGGCATTTGAACTCAGGGACTTATGATTGCTAGGCAGGCT